GCTCTGAAATACGGTTTGGTCATACATTATGTAACTCTTCATGTTGTGGATCTACATTATGTATAATCTCTAACTTTTCAGAATCGACCAGAGGCTTGGTCATACATTATGTAACTCTTCATGTTGTGGATCTGAAATATGGTTTGGTCATACATTATGTATAACTCCTGATGTTGTGGATCAGCTTAAATTGCAACTTTATATAAAAAGTAATACTTAACAGCTTTTAATATAAACTCAGATTTGAATGCCTTCAGTTGATAACTTGTACAACTAAAGTAAACTCCACATATAACACGATCAAGGGGGCCATACAATTTACTTTTTATCAATGTACGTAGCTGGTTCTCATTATAAAAGTTCATCCCATGGCCAGTATATCAAGGGAGGTAACTCTAACTCACTGACACTGAATTGTAGCTATGACATATTTAACGATTTTGAGCGAGACACTCACGAAATGTACTTCAGAAAATTACTCACAACATGAGACACATTTTGCACAAATTTTTGATCGTATTCATGAAAAGAAGCAAAGTTTGGCAAATTTTAGTGAATAAACAATAACTACATGGTTTCACACTGACCTTGCATGGTCACTGAGAGGTCTAAAGTCACAGGCCAGCCACTTAATTACAGGCCACTCAGGCCAATTAGCAGCATAGATACTGTATGTGAATGGCCAGCTAGCCGGCCGGCTGATTTAGCGGCGCATGACTTGGTGTCATGCTCACTGATGTGTGAACTGTTAAGCAATTAAATCATAATTTTTTGTCTTTAATACTTTAAACATATTTTATTAACCAGAATTGGAAAATAGCACATGACGGTAAACCTGTAATTATTCTAGCTACTTCACGTTGAGCCCTCTCTAACTTTTCAGAATCGACCAGAGTACAACCATCCCTAACCTCACATGCATATTCTAAAGTATAGATTTTAGTACTTAGGCAATATCATTTATATAAATTAAGAAAAACAATGGTCCAAGAATTGAACCCTGAGGAACTCCAGCACATATCAAACCAGCATCAGAAGAAGAATTATTTATAAACACTTTCTGTTGTCTGTTATTTAAGTAGTTTTTGATCCAAGAAAGGAAATTTCCTGAGATACCATATGATTTTAACTTGACTAATAAACCATTATGCCAGACTCTGTCAAAAGCTTTTGAGATGTCACAGAAAACTTCAAGAATCAAGACAAATATTATGATATAATTCGAGTAATTGATACACAGCTGAGTGGCCAGGCATAAATCCTGATTGGTACTGATAAAACAGAGAATTTTCAAAAAAATAATTATACAAGTACTTAAAGATAACCCTTTCAAATGTTTTACCAACCATAGACAAAAGAGAAATCAGTCTATAGTCAGAAGGAGAATGCCTATCACCCTTCTTAAAAAGCAGCATGACTTTAGCAAATTTCCAAATATCAGGATAAATACAAGTAGATAACGATAAGTTAAAAAGAAGTTCAAGTGGTTTACATACAGTTTTTGCAGTGTACTTCAACATATGGTGGCTGATTTCATCCATGCCTGAGGCTTTGCCAAGTTTTAAATTCAACAAGACATCACATATTTCATTGTAGTTAAATATAGGAGATTCAAATGAATCTCCGTTTTCGGTTCTAAAATAGGAATATCAGTATTATTATCATCTATGTTAGTGATACTGCAAAAATAATTATTCAATAAATTTGATTTGTCCTTATCGTCAATTAATAAACGTCCTGATGTTGAATCAACTGAAGTAGGAATAGACTGCGAGGTCCCTGAATTTCCCAATAATTCTTAGGATCAGATGAGTAATAAAAATCAATAAGATTTCCAACATTTTCATAGAAGGATTTTCTAGCATGCTTTTTCATGTTATTAACTTTGTTTCACTGTTTTTAGAATGCTTGGCTGTTTTTCGTAATCTATCGTGTAGTCTCATATTTTTTCTCAGGTCTGAATTCATCCATGGCTTATCGTTAGGTCTTATAGTAACTTCTCTATGTGGTGTTAATTTTGTTCTACAAGCAAAATCGAGAAAAAAACTCAGTAAAACGTTCGCTAGACGAATCAACAGAGTTACATGTAGCAAAAAGAGTATTCCAGTCATATTCCTCGATAAGGTGATTAAATAATACATAGTCACCTCTTTATATAACCAAATTTTTCGTTTGTAGACGGGTTTAATAAATAACGGGACGGAAATATAAGTGACAACCTTCGTTGTCAGTAAAGGAGTTTTCGGTAGCTATGACGTAGGAGTCGGTGCAGGACAAAGATTCTGACACTAAAATTGGATCAAGTAAACTGGACCTGGTGGGACCTATTCGTGTAGGTTCATTTATAACATATGTAAAATTAAAAGTATCAATATATACTGTCAGCAAAAGCATGATTCTGGGACATGGTTAGCATGTCAACATTGTGGTCTCCTATCAAAATAATATTTCTTGATAATTCTACAGCATCATTTATTGAAGCCCGAAGATCATCCCAAAATTGATTATTGTGATAAGCAGAACAGTATATGCTGTCCCGATTATTAGACATTTATTAGACATTTGTCAGGAAGAAATACCTGAAACCATAATACTTCGGTGTCGGGGCCTTCGAGGTTAACCAGCTGCCTACTAACTTTAAAGCCTCATTTACATATACTAAAATACCCCCAACCGCAAAATTTCTATCGAGTCTAAAAGGAGAGTGGAAGCCTCCTATCAATAACTCACCTCTGGGGACCTCAACATCAAGATGCGTTTCGGTGAGACAAATTATATCATATTCACCTGCAATGTTTTCTATGTATTCAATTTTATTCCTTGCACTCCTAATATTTAAATGAAAAATAGAAAGCTCGCCTTCCACAGGACCAGGATTGGACTCAACATCCATATGCTGTAATACTAGCAACAGCAAAATAAACAGGAAATCGTCTTTAATAGATTTGTATCGTGATATATTTACTTTTGAATGTTGAAAGCTATATCAAGCCATATGTCACATGTAAACTTCCCTAAAATTCTTTAAAATATCAATAAATCTCCAAATTTGGTTCCAACAAAGTAACTACAGACTTCAGAAAAACACAAAAGGGATAAAACCATGTTATTTGCAGTATTATTCCTGTTTTAAATGTATCACAAATTTTTCACAAATTCAGAGAAAATATATCACGATTCTTGACTAAATCTCACCAAAAAAAATCACTGATCTCACTATTTTGCACCGTAAAGTTATGGCATGTATATATAATGCTCGATATATGAATGTATATCAAAATAAACACACAGAAGCCAGGAAACAGATTAACTGATATTTTCAATTTCATTTTAGCAACATTTCACTTGTTTATGCATGTTCACTGTTCTCCGTTTTGACTTTAAGAGTTGGGCAAGAAATTGGAAACCCAGCTACAGAAACACAACTAGAACACTGACAGGTCAGTAAGGGCCCCGTCGTGTGGCAATATATCCCCCATAATCATCAAGAAGCAATCTGCCCATATAGCTGAGCTTGACGTTTGACATTTGGACTTCAAAAAGAATCGCAAGGAAGCAAAATATACATTTTACATGTACTATGATGTGAGTCTTGTTTCCTTCCACCTCCATATTTGCTGGGCTAACAGAAATGTAAATACCGGTGCAATACTCATTTGTTAGCTTTGATTTGTTTTATTTCACCTTATATACCTCCTACATCAAGAGCCAGGGTCAAAGTCAGAGATCCACTTTGTCTTTGACCTTTGGACCCAAATGACCTTGACCATTAACCTAGTGACCCTGAACTTTGGTCAGTTGACTTATTCTTTAATTCCGACCAACTTTGCTTCTTGATATCATAACAAAATGTTCATCAGTGAAAAATACAAAACTTGACCTTGACCCTTTGGACCCCGTAACCTGGACCTAAGGTCAGTTGACTCTGTGTTAAGTTCTGAACAACATTGCTTCATAATGTCATAACAAAATGTTCATCAGGGAAAAGGTACAAAATTTAACCTTGACCTCTGACCCAATGACCTTGACCTTTGGTCAGTTGACTCCTTGTTTAATTCTGATCAACTTTGCTTCATCATGTCATAACAAAATGTTTATCAGTGAAAAGATGCAAATTTGACCTTGACCTTTGAATCTAATGACCTTGACATTTGACCTCGACTTTTTACCTCAGTGTTTCTCTTTGTTTGATTCCGAACAACTTTGCTTCATAATGTCATAACGAAATGTTCACCAGTGAAAAGCTACAAAATTTTACCTTGACCCCTGACCCAATGACCTTGACCTTTGGTCAGTTGACTCCTTGTTTAATTCTGATCAACTCTGCCTCATAATGTCATAACAAAATGTTCATCAGTGAAAAGATGCAAATTTGACCTTGACCTTTGAATCTAATGACCTTGACCTTTGACCTTGATTTTTTACCTCAAGGTGTATTTTTGTGAACTGAACATCTTGACCAAGTTTCATGTACATCGGTCAATAAATACCAAAGTTATCAGCCAGGAACAGAATTTGTGGACGGACAGACAGACAGACAGACAGAGTGATTACTATAGGGCACCGGTATCTCCGATACGGGGCCCTAATTAAAACATTTGTAAAACGTACTGGATCTCTGAGAGTGTAAGGCACTTTTATACTTTCCAAGTTTTTCAAAATTGAAGTTTATATTGTACGGGCGGCTTAGCTGTATTCAGTAGATATATTGAATTTAGTTTTAGATCCTTGTTCAACTTCATTGACAATGGTAGATGGGTCTCAATAGATGGAGCCTTCCTTTCTCACTGAGTGGAAGTTATGATTGATAAATTAAGTATTGTAAGCCCTATACAATACAATAGTAGTACATGCTACTGCTTGTATTATGTATGCTGTTACAAGTTAGTGTGAGTGATAAAATGGTTCTTACTTGAGTTACACCTCATTAGACATAGGTAAAATTGACTGGTGGTTTCTTATAGTCATGTGGTAATCCTCTAACTGGTCTATATAAATACCTTGATGAACCTGTCCAATTGTCACAAATTCCACCAGGGCATGAACTCTCCACCAGCATCCATGGAAAGGCAGAACCTGTATCTGAACTGATGTCACCGGTGTTGGAATCCTGGCCTCAATGACATTGTACGGAGGATCGTCTTCTACAACATACAAGTGGGGACTCTCTCAAAGATATATTTCATGAATACCCAGCAACTTCAAAAATAGGAACAATTGATTAAAATGAGAAATTTTGTGGGATTTATTGATTTCTCTTGTTGTGATGACCAAATCATGTGACAACTGATCATGAAACCCTTCATAAGTTATTTGGAATAAGAGTCCACCTCAGTTTGGTGATAACGATTAAATATCTTTTACAAAAGAAGTTGTCAACAATGGCCAATTTAAGTCAAAATACCAACAGTTTCCATAGATGTTTGTTGGATAGTGCGAACCAACCAGAAAAGAAAAGAATATAGAGGATTAATTGATATACTTCAGAAACTTAACCAAATTAAGAAATTTCTTCTGAATAATGACTTAAAATATTGATATTCCAGCACAAACTGAGGAATAAGAGGAGACATAATTAGGTCTTTTATAAAACCATGAATAATTTTCATGATAAAAGAACATTTATTAAAGTTCATTGTCTAAAACAAGAGGTCACACCCAACAAAAGCGATACATATACACCTGTCACACGTTGAATGAGCAGTTGTTTGTATAATTGAAATATATGAAATATTTGTGAGTAATTGACGTTAAAGGAGAAATAATTCAACATATGTTGTAGATCAATGAGTGCAATAAGCATTCTGGAATACATTTAGTAATAGTGAATCAATGAAACCAAGGGGAATAAGTCTATTAATCATGGTCAGATAATTGTGATAACATTCACTCCACTGATTCAAAGTTATATTAGTCTGTTGAAAAATATTTGAGATATCCAGCAGGGCGTATAGAAACTGATATAACAATAAAATGGTCAACAGGAATCCCTTGCGTTCAGGTACATGTAGGTGAGTTAAAAATTGAAAAAAAAAAAAAATTTGACTTCTGTGATACATACCAAGAGTTTCACTGCACCCAAAGCTTCTGTACTCCTCATAGATCTTGAAAACCTGAAATTTAAATCATCTTATACATGCCATAACTTTTCACAGAAACAGTCAACCAATCAGAGCACAATATGCTAATATATGATTTGTTGATTTTGCTCAACTTCGAACATAGCCTTAGTCTCCGTATAATGTGTACACATGCATACCAAGTTTCATAAAAATCTAACGATGTTTAAGCAAATTATCTTGCAGAAAAAAAAGTTAGGAAATTGACCAATTAGAGCACAGGACACTAATTAATTATGCACAGAATGTGCTCAACTTTGAAGTTATAAGTCTCTCTCGTCATATAAAGTGACCAATAAGACTGCTGCACAGTACATGTATTTATTCTGCATGGATTAATTTTGCCTCAGTTCGGAATTAGCTACAGCCTTTGTATGATGTACATGCATACAACGTTTTATCAAAATTGAACAATATTTATGGAAGTGTGGACGACAAGACAGACATTACAGATGGACACAGTGATTATCATATGGCAACCCCATCTCTAATGCAGGACCCTAATAATTACTGTAGACAATTATTTTGTAGTATTACCTGTAGAATACCTATTGAAATTTCTTTATTTAGTCAGCTCTAATATAGAACTGTGTTTAAGTACTTCCATGGAGTACCTTCAGTAAGTTCTGGTCTAGTTTTACAATTAATCAATAATGTCCTTATGCAATTACAAAATATATCACCATCACTTTGACCAATAGTTGTGCAAGCTAACTTAGCATCTAATATGAAAAAGCAAAGCCTAAAAAGAGGGTTGCTTTTGTTGATCTCTGATATTTACTGATTCGATCAGAATGAAATAAAAATAACTGATTTCAGAATGAGATCAGATAAGCTTTATTTAAAGTTGGCAAGTGATGGAATGACAATAAAACAAAAGCTCTAATTTAAGACCTACATAACAATTAAGGGAGACCGGGGCAAATTTGTGGATTTTTTTTATTTAAGTCTGTTATGGGAAGTATGAATAGCACGTCCGTTTTTGAAGAATCGTCGAACTTTTCCTGTCAGAAGACTGGATGTCATTATAGCGATATATAGGCTCAATTTATGTTGCATCCTGAACACCGGATTGAATTTCAAATTTTGTTACAGTCAACAAGGTTTGACAGGTAAGGATGCCAAATAAAATTAAACAGTTTCTGCCTGTACTTGTTATAAATTGGCACGCGGTGTAAAACAGTAATACGTTGCTGAAAAATGGCGTTAAACTCCTGTTGGTGTCTGGAAAATCATTGTTGATTTCAACATAAATGCATTATCAATTGTTTCTTTTATGAGTGGTAATGTATAAAAATATTATGTAAAGACTATAAAAAGACTTCAAATATTTTAGTTATTTCGTTCATATTCTCAACAACTGGTTTTCAAAGGCTGATGAAATTTTAGATGATGAACAAATACATGTACACGTAGACCTGGCAACATTTGGTTTAATGCCGGCTCTTTTAGAAGATATCTCCTGGCAGAAATATTAACAGAACCTATGGATTGATGACAAAAAGGATATTCAGAAAATATCCGCGCTTTTACTTTTTGTGCCTGTGACAAAAATAGAAATAAAAAAAAAGTTCTAAAGCACCGAAGAAAAGATAATGCAACGGATATCAGTTCCTAGATTTTCCGGTTGTTTTTCATCCTTCCAGAAATAACCGATGAAGGCTGATGGAGTATGACGTGTTTGTGACGTCATAGTATGATAATCTCTGAACGAAGATTCATGCGTGTAACAGTATCACATTTCATATGATGGACTTTTCCACTCAGAATGTATATTAGTTTTTATCAAAATCTGAAAGTGTAGAAGTATAACAACAATTTTGTATACGTTTATATTCTGTTTCCTAGCACGATGATAAAAATGAAACATTATTGTCTTTGCTAATGCTTCAAGAATACACTTATACGATTTCCCCACTGAATGGCTACTTCCGGACGAAAAAAACCAAGGGCAATGTATAGCAAGGGGAAGCAACTCTGTTTATGCACACATGTGTTACCATTAAAGAGCTTCGCTCGGGCGCCCAAGAGCTACACTCTTATAGGTACTAGGACCATATATAACGGAAAGCGTGCAATTGAGAATTGTTTAATTTTTGTAGTTTTAGAGTAGCTATATCCATGTTTTTGTTAGTTTTTGTGTTAGCTGTAGAATAGTTAAAGTGGAGAATGAAAGTGGATGTAGTGTGATAGGTTTATAGCGGAAGTGTACTGATCGATACAGAAGTGGATGTAGTGTGACAGGTCTTTAGCGGAAATGTACTGATACAGAAGTGGATGTAGTGTGATAGGTCTATAGCGGAAGTGTACTGATACAGAAGTATATGTAGTGTGAAAGGTCTATAGCGGAAGTGTACTGATACAGAAGTGGATATAGTGTGATAGGTCTATAGCGGAAGTGTACTGATACAGAAGTGGATATAGTGTGATAGGTCTATAGCGGAAGTGTACTGATACAGAAATGGATGTAGTGTGATAGGTCTATAGCGGAAGTGTACCATAAAAACCCATGTAATTTGCGCACCTGTGTAATTTGCGCAGGTACTTTTTGAGGCTGAAAATCGGGAAAAAAGCTTCTACTCGAATATTTTGCGCACCCAAAAAATCTGGAAAAAAAACGATGTTCATGCTCCGAAAATCGATCTCTGAATATATTTTTTTTAAATGTGTTTCTATGATTTTTTTTTCATTGATGTAAAATGATATTTAAAACCAAGAAGAAACTACGGAAAATGTGTATTTTGTTGCTTGTATTCTTTGAATTATCGGATCACACATGACACACACGTGTGCGCATATTGGCATACATCAATTCATTTTAGCAATATTTTACATAAAACATTTACTTGCTTACAAAAACATATCAATTAATAAGTAATTCGATGTTTAGTAACCGCTGGTGCATATCTCCTGGTGAAAGA